GCAAATTTTTCAAAGGTTTTTACCAAAGATTTTTCGACTCCCATAAATCATTTTGAGGCGGAGTTGGTTCTCAAAGAGGGTCCTCCTATTTTTAGAAAGGCATATGACGTTCCTTATAGGTTAAGGGAGAAAGTTTTAGACTATTTGACCAAGTTGGAAAATGAGAAAGTTATCACTCCTATTAAAACAAGCGAATGGGCTTCTCCAGTAGTTGTGGTCATAAAAAAAAATAATGATATTCGTCTCGTAATTGACTGTAAAGTTTCAATTAATAAAATGATTGTTCCCAATACGTACCCATTACCTGTTCCTCAGGATATTTTTGCAAAATTGGCAAATCGTGGAGTATTTTGCTCATTAGACTTGGAGGGGGCTTATACGCAATTGGCATTGACAGATAGATCGAAGCAATTCATGGTCATAAACACTATTAAAGGATTATATATTTACAATCGATTGCCCCAAGGTGCCTCATCCAGTGCATCGATTTTCCAACAGGTAATGGATCAGGTGTTGGAGGGAATTGAGTTTGTTTCATGTTATTTGGACGATGTTCTCATCGCTGGCAAAAACCTGGAAGATTGTAAGCAAAAACTTCATTTGGTTTTGGGTAGGTTGGAAAAGGCCAACATTAAAGTAAATCTTGAAAAGTGCCGATTTTTCGTTTCAGAATTAACCTATTTAGGACACATTATAAGTAAAAAAGGGCTAATGCCTTGTCCGGATAAAATTTCAACGGTACAGAAGGCAAAAGTGCCCACTAATGTAACGGAACTGAAATCTTTCCTTGGATTAATTAATTTTTACAATAAGTTCATCCCGCACCTGTCTGCAAAATTACATAATCTATATAGTCTTTTGAAAAATAATGTGAAATTTGTTTGGGATAAAAAGTGTGATCAAGCATTTGAGATCAGCAAGAATTCATTGTTAAACGCTTCAATTTTAGAATTTTACGATCCTAAAAAACCGATCGCAGTCGTTTCGGATGCGTCGGGCTATGGCCTCGGGGGAGTGATAGCTCATATTGTAGATAATGTGGAAAAGCCGATATCGTTTACTTCGTTTTCGTTGAATGGCGCACAAAAAAAATATCCTATTCTTCACTTAGAGGCTTTGGCCCTGGTTTGCACTATAAAAAAATTCCATAAATACCTATACGGCCAAAAGTTCAAGGTGTTCACTGACCACAAGCCGCTTGTAGGAATTTTTGGCAGGCAAGGTCAACATTCCATTTACGTCACAAGACTTCAGCGTTACATATTAGAGTTATCAATTTATGATTTTGAAATTCAGTATCGGCCATCAGCACAAATGGGTAATGCCGATTTTTGTTCGCGTTTCCCTTTAGAGCAAAGCATTCCTCAAAACTTGGATGAAGAGCTAATTGGAAGCATTAATTTTTCAAAAATTTTTCCGGTAGATTTGATTGCGGTGGCTAAGGCTACAAAAGATGATGATTTTTTGCAAAAAATATTGTTATATATGTCAACTGGTTGGCCAAAGAATATAGATAAATGTTTGACAGATGTTTTTGCAAATCAGCATGAGTTGGAGTTTCTAGATGAATGTTTGTTGTATAGAGAAAGAGTGGTAATTCCAAAGTCAATGCAAAAGGCGGTGCTAAAACTCTTGCACGCTAATCACGCAGGCATTGTAAAAATGAAAAGATTAGCGCGTTGTTCGGTGTACTGGTTTGGCATCAACTCAGATATTGAAAAATTTGTGGGTCACTGTGACGTATGCAACAGTATGATGATAGTACCCAAACAGAAGGTTGAGTCACATTGGATACCCACAACAAAGCCCTTTAGTAGAATCCACATTGATTTTTTCTTTTTTCAACGGCAAACATTCTTGTTAATTGTTGATAGTTACTCGAAATGGGTGGACGTAGAATGGATGCGTAATGGTACGGATAGTGAAAAGGTGTTAAAAAAATTGGTATCATTTTTTGCACGATTTGGCCTGCCGGACGTGTTGGTGTCCGACGGGGGCCCTCCGTTTAATTCGCATTCCTTTGTAAACTTTTTGGAAAGACAAGGCATTAAAGTTTTCAAGAGCCCTCCTTATAACCCATCAAGTAACGGTCAGGCGGAAAGGGCAGTTAGAACGGTCAAAGAGGTGTTAAAAAAGTTCTTAATGGAACCTGAGATATCTGAATTGGATTTGGACGATCAAATCAATCTCTTTTTGTTTAATTATAGAAATTACAATATGACTGACGAAGGGAAATTCCCTTCAGCAAAAATATTTTCGTTCAAACCAAAAACATTGATGGATCTGCTGAACCCCAAAAGTAACTACAAAAACAAACTAGCCTTATCACCACCAGCCAATGAGGAAACTAGTCCGATTCCTAATTCTCTGGTAAATGCCAGGAAATTGGAGGATCCTTTCGACAAACTGATGGCTGGGGAGGAATTATGGTATAAAAACCATAATCCCCACAATCACGCTAGATGGATAAAAGCGGTATTTATAAAAAGATTCTCTTTGAACACGTTTCAGGTACAGCTTGGAAGCGTGGTCACTATGGCACACCGGAATCAGCTACGGATCACTAAAAATAGTGGGGCGTTCTCAAGGCCCAACGTTACGATTTCCATACAACAACATCAACAACCAATGACGATGAATCGGCAAAGGCCGAGGATTGAAGATGATCCGAATGGATCGGGAATTCGTGATGGATTGGTAGCTGAGGAGCCAGTCGGGGATCCGGTACCACGAAATCGGAACAGGAAGCGGAAGCCAGAATGGAGCGATATGACCGATGTTGGCGTAAGGCGGTCTAAACGTATTCGGAAGTCAACGAGGGATGATGAATTTTGGTATCCAGAATGATCGAATATATTGATCGGAAGAAGTGAAGGTATGGAGTGAATTCTGTTTTTTGCGTGGTGGTTAATATCACTTTCGAATTAAAAGTTATAAATATTAAATTAGATCTAACATAATACTTTCGAGTATGGTACGAATAGATGAAAATAGATTCAGGTTTTTCTTTGTGAAATATCGATTTAATTAGCTTGTTTACAGTTTGAGCTTTCGAAAGGGGAAGAACTGTTGGATACCAACCTTCTCCATCAACCGTCAATGTATGAAAACGCATGTAACGCCTGCGGGCGAGATCGAGAGCTTTTGTTAATATACGAACCGATCGAGCTGATCACTTTCGTTTCGGTCTTTGCGACAACCAGTAGTGTTTCAGTTTTATGAAAGATTGACCAGTGTATCTCGAGTGAATACTCATCACCAAGAAACACTGAGAGAACATTGTCGACGTCACGTGGAGGTGGCGTTCTGCATTTCTAAAGTGAGGTTAAGTGAGCCATATTTGTTTTTTGTTTATCGATTTATTTGATAATGTACAATCGAATTAAATTTATAGAGCCGAGAATTCTTGTTCACTATACAAAACATCGTAAAATTATAGTTAAAAGGTACAGAACAATAAACACTTTATCTTCCGCTATCCAATAAACCTCCTCCATCAGAATAGGATCAGCTTCCAGTGGTTTCATTGTATGGCAGTATCGCCAACGAGGGGAAGAGCGGTTCCATTGTAGCAATGGACGCAATACGTGGTCGTCACTTACACACTCATCACGAAACGGTTGCTTTCCAAAGCCGACGACGCATCGACTGAAAGAACTGCGCTGATGAAGAACAATGAGGAGTACCACACAATGGTTGCTGCCAAGTAAACAGACGATCGCGTGACTCACATCGATAGTGGCCCGCTTCTGTCGACAACCGAGTGAACGCTACAACGAGCCATAGTTGCCGGACGAATTGGCTGATTTCAGACAGGCATGGGAAATTTTTATGATTGAAGCGGAAATCGAGGAGAAGAGCAATGCGGTGAAAGTGACTCTGATTAAACAATTTATGGGAATCGAGTCGGTGAAAGTGCTGAATACTTTACTACCTGCCGCAGCCCAAAATATACCGGCAGCGATTTTGGCTGCACTCGAAGGGTACTGTGTGCCGTAAACGAATGAAACTTAAGGCCGGCGCACAATGCGTACGTTTTCGGGTTTTATGACAGATAATGCATGGGCTAACTGTTAAAAAACCTGAAAACGCATCTATTGTGCGCCGGCCTTTATGAACGGTACCTCTTCAATACGGCGATGCAGGCAGAAGGCGAAGACATCATCAAATTCGTGACACGACTTTGCAAGCTGGCAGAGACCTGTAATTATGGACAGCTTACGGATTCAGATCGCGGTAGGCATCTGATCGGATGGCGGTAAATTTCTAGATAGAGCTGGAATTAGGGCGTAACAGCTTTTGTAAACAATGACTTCTTTTGATGATTTCTAGAAAGTTAAGGCTTGCCAACGCAAATCAACAACACAATCGGGTAGGGGAGGAGTTCCCCTACCCGACGGTTATGTTGGTTTGCGTGGGCGTCCCTTGAGTTCCTAGAAATCATCGACAGAAGTTATTGTTTACTAAGTCTGTTACGCCCTAATTCCAGCCCTATCTAGATTTGACACTAGTGGTTGAAATTGATACCTGTCGTGCACAGAAATTGGTGAAGGATTGGATGGATTTATGAGTAAGCCAAACTCACATTTGGGTCGTTCTCATTCGCCGTGTAAGAGGGCGTCATATCGACCATGTGTATTAATTTCAATGTTTGTGCATCAACTTAACTTAGCGTATTTATTTGCATCGTATCAATTTAATCGGAATCGCAATACTGTTATAAACTTGATTTGAATTAGCTGTTAAAACGACCACACATCACGGCAGATTCCTCTGTAGTCTGGTTTCTGCCCAGTTGGGCAAACAATCGGTGCTATGAAAATATTCCTTCCGAATGGCACGGCGACATGGTCTGCAGTTTTCACGTCCACGTTGTCTTCGGAAGATGTCATCGGAGCACCCCAGGAATTGTTGAAATAACTCAGCAACAGTACAAGTAGCAGAACAAAGATTTTCGGAGCAGCCTCCATGACGTGCAGGATATTCTAATAACTGAGAAATTTTTACCCAAGTGATATGCATTTTATTGACGACAGGAACTACTTCAAGTAGTTGCTATAATGTACAGCGTGATAAGATAGCATTCGAAACTGCATTAAAAATTTCCTGTAAGTTGTAAACCATCGAATAGTAAACATCAGAAGTCAACTGATAACGCTTCCGTCTAGACTCCTACAGGCCCCATACTTCACGGCACTTTCCATTATGGTCTGGCCTCTGTCCCGGTGGGCAAACTACGGGAGCATCGATTATGTTCATCTAGAATTAAGAAATGTTAAACAGTTTTTCAAATAACAACCCCTTAGCAAAATAGTGAAAACTACCTGATCAACATTCTCCATATCCTCTTCGAAGGTTGCTACCGGATTAATTACTGGTGGCTTTACTCCTTTCAAAACTTGATCATCTGGAACTGCCAGTGGGGCTTCCTCGTCGCATTCCTCACACACCGGTCGACCACTCACGGCCAGAGCTACCAGCAAAACTCCACAAATTACAAACAGAATCTTCATTCTTGGGCTGATGAATTCTTTTTTGGGCAGTCTAGAAACACAACAACTTGACTTGAACGTCGGATTCGGTTTGAAATAACATACACTGCCGAGCAATCTATTTCATACCGATTTGCAATAGCTGCTTCTAGATAACAACGATAAGGTCTCTCTCTCTCTCACTCTGTGTCTCAGGCACCGGACGTTCCTAAAGGATGTTATCAATAAAGCTTAAGCCCTATCCAAACAATAAATCCAATCGGAAGTTGTTTGTTTCGTACTGCAGTTATGGAGAGCGGTAACACATGTGAATTGCTTAGCACTATATTTTTTCAATAGTTTAATCACAGACAAACAGACATAACACTCGTAAGTTGTTCATCGAACAAGCATTTAACGGTCAATTTAAAAGTATCATAGTTGGTAGTACCGCCACCTGTGGCGCGCATAGTCAATTCCCTTGCGTTTGACGTTTACACACTACCGCCATCTGTTCAACGTAGTGCCCACCACTGTGTACTCAATAGATGGCGGTAATGTTTTAGTGACGATGTTTTACAGTGAGAAATATTCAATGTGTTATGTCTGTTTGTCTGTGGTTTAATCATCTAATGATATTTGAAAACAGCTCTGAAACACAATTCAAAATCCAATAAAAATTAAAATGGTTAGTCGCATCATATTCGAGATCAATCCTATAATGTATCCGTTGTCTTTTTGCCCATTCAACGAAACAACAACCCTAATCTACAGGTTTCTTATCATAATTGATAAACACATTTCTAGACCAACGTGAGGACTATTGACACTGAACGATAGAGTGGCTTTCAAGATAAGATTTGATGGGACAATCACAGTATATTGACCAATTGTTCTTCCCCGGCAGGCAGCTTGAAAGGGCTTCAATTAATCCGATATCGCGTCATTTCTTATAAGCTTTAGGCTGGAAAGGCTTGATTGGTCAAGAGTGAGAAAAATTACGTCAACAGTTTACAGTATCCCCCGCTAAATGTGTGGCCGGATTAGCGAGGTTGACCCAATAATCCGACTAACAAATCCATACAGTTCAATGTTACCAACCTAACAATGTACAAAAAGCTCCGTAAGAAACCCTGTTGTCGGATTATCAAGTCGTCGGATTAAGGCGACACGATCCAGAAGGCTGGGCTCTGGTGCCATATCGTATTTTCCAGGGGTCGATTATCAGCTCCCGGAAAACATTCAATAACAAAACTGCGACGCAGCAAATATGGTGATGCAAATTAAGCTGTGTCTGGGGGTAAGTCACTCTGCCTCAATGTGCTAACACCTAAAGAGACTGAATTGGAAAAAGAGGCGATACCTTATCCATTGGACAGGTCTTCCAACAATCAATACGAAACTAACGATTTTAAATTGGCTCACTACTTGACTACCCTATTGGTCCCAAGCAAATCGATTAACATACCCCATTCTAGTATAAATTCCAGTACTACACAATGTTTGTTTTGATTCGCTATGGAAGTTTGACAGATAAAGTGAGGGGTTAGTTGATTTTCTTATGTTTCGAGGGGTGAATCGATTAGCTTGGGACCGAAAAGAGTACCAGAGCTGAGCCACTTGTTGTGCACATAATCAATTCCCTAGCGTTTGACGTTTACACACTACAGCTACAATTTAGTGTATTACCCATCATAGTGTATACGACAGATGGCGTTCAATGTGTTGTGTATGTATGTCTGTGATATAACATCGAGGTAACGTTAGGATAAAATCAAAACATTGAGAAATATAACGCATCACTTTCAGAAATACTTCACTTCGCAACCGATGAACCATTCTGACGGCCAAATGAGTACCCAAGTAACCATATAGTCGCAATATAGCTTGTATATTCTTACTTTGCTTGAGTATGGTTAGTTGATGATCGAAAAATATACCGATTTGTATACATTATCTGACAGAGCTTTGTTTTCTGAGCACAACGATATTTTTATCGATCCCGTAGACATTCATCTTGATTTTTAAATCAAGATTTAAATTTTTGATTTTTGGCACTAAATCTATTCGTTGACAGCTCGCTCCCATACAAAGTCCCACCAACAATCAATACGAAATTATCGATTTAAAATTGACTCACTACTTGACTAGCCTATTGGTCCCAAGCAAATCGATTAACGAACCCTATTCTAGTCAAAATTCTAGTACTACACTATGTTTGTTTTGATTTGCTACACACAAAAAATAAAAATTGTTCCTTCAAAAATAATGCATTTTCAAATTAAAAGTCTCCCAACTTTGGTTGTTTCAACTACGACAATATTTAACATGAAAGCATTATTGTTATTTTAAAAGTTTGTCTTTCACTTTATACTTGTTATTTTAAAAAGGCATATTTTCAAAATGAAAATTGTTAAACTTTCAAAAATACCATTGACTAAATGTTGGGTTGTTTCGTTTTTTCGTGCACCACAGCCATCACAAGTGAAAAAAAAAACCGGGGAAAAAATCTACCAGTTTGATTTACTTAAATGTAGTTTAAAATATTAAAATACATATGAATTCGCATGTTCAGTGGAGTGCAGTGCGAGCATATGGAAGTGCTGGAATCAGGTTTGGCCAAGAGTAGGAAGCTTATTTCGGAATGTGCAACTGGAGTTGAATAATAGGTAAGTTACGTTGGGGTTAGCTTTTAAAGGTGAATTATTTAAAGGTGGTCTTATCTTGTTGCAGATATTGACTCGTTTCTTGAAAGTACGAAGCACTTTGCACCATCTTCGGTGTTGACACCACAGAAGCCACTACGGATGCCATTGACGGTAGTTTCACCGGGAAAGCATTCCTCTAGCCGATCCGATGTATCCTCCGGAGCGAGAATTGCAAGAACTGACAAAGGAATGTTATTAGAAGTATCCGGCACTCAGCTTGGCAAATATGAAACGGTACATCGAAGGAATATCGGAGTCTATAAAACCTGCGAAAAATATCGTAGTATATAAAACCTTCTCTTGGACCTGGAGTACTTCCCTAAAGATTGCGAGTAACTGGGATATTTATAAATATATATTAATTAAATTATAATAAAAACATTATGAATTAAAAAAACTGATATTAATATTTTATAGAATTTAAAATGAAAATTATGTGTTATAATATTAAAATTGCATATTTTTAAACTGAATTTTTATTATTTCAAACGCAAAATTACCCCTCTTATTTCATTCATACCAAACTTTCAAGCCCAAAAGCATGATTTTAATTTAAAAAATCCACGTTTAATTTCAACCCAGTCGAGCTTTTCTTTTGACAGTAGAACAATTTATTTTGAAAGTTTCAACTTTTAAAAACAGTGACCAGGCAACTTTTGATTAGAAAGTTGTCTGACTTTTGTTTTGAATGCTAATGACTTTCTACCAAAAAGAACCAATGCAAACTTTTAATTCTACCAATGGTTTTTTTAATTTTATTAGCGATAATTTTTTGTGTGTATGAAAGTTTGACAGATAAAATGAGGGACTCGAGGGTTTTCCTATTTTTCGAGGGGTGAATCGATTAGCTTGGCACCGAAGAGTGTACCAGAGCTGAGCCATATAGTTGAGCACGTTTCTTCGGGACCTTCTAGTCTTAGAGTTACCTCTATGGTCCCACCAAGGGGCGCTAAGATGGTCATGTACTTGTACCTATTTAAAATAGTTCCAGTGTACCAAAATTCAGGAAATTTTCGATTTCGGACCCATTTTGAATCCAGATAACGAATATGTATTGACTTCAATACCTCCAATCAACCCAATTATTCATGTAAAGTTTAGCAGGGATTATAAACAATTTTTAACCATTTTTGGTAAGGTCAAGTTATGGTTCGCACATTTTATTAGGGTTATGTGCAAGAAAAAAGTTTATGTTGATATCGTAAGGTACAGTAATAACATTGTTACTTTAAAAAATACCGCCAAATCGACTGAAAACCGGTGCAAAGCTTTGGCTGACCTTTTTGATTCATCAGGGAAATTATTTCGATGTACCTGGTCAGGCTTGTGGACAGGTACCAATATTTACATCAACGACTGTAGGTAGCTTATTTTTCGCAAACAGAAACATTTGCAAAACCAACTCACCCGAGAACTCACCATAACGTACCGGTTTTGCTCCAAGTTTAGTGTCTCTACACGGAATCATTTATACACGCATCGATGCCTAAAATTTAATCAATATTTATATCTACCCGCATGAACGCAGACCATAACTTGACCTTACCAAAAACGGTTAAAAATTGTATATAATCCCTGCTAAACTTTAACTGGAATGGTTATGGAACTTTTCATGAAGGTTTGTGGGATAAAGTTTAAACCTTATATATTATGGTTTTTTTTGAAGTGAACCTTACAAATAATGGGTTGCTAAGAACCATTACCATTCAAAATAGTTTTTTTTTACCATGTAAAGTTCCATTATCATTTCAGTTAAAGTTTAGCAGGGATAATAAACAGTTTTTAACCAATTTTGGTAAGGTCAAGTAATGGTTCGCATTTATAATCTCGTTCTTCAGCCGTAAATATTTAACCGAGTAGGAGAAATGTATGTAATGTCGGCCTAAGTGGCCCTAATTTGGGCCCATGATTTTCTCAAAAGTGGTTAAATATTTACGGCCGATGAAAAGAGATAAATTTAAAAAGTGGTTACATTTTAATCATGGTGAGTACACATATGGGTGTTTTTTGTGTACAATCCATGATTCAGCCATGATAGATTTTATTACAGAAGAGCGACCGAGTTTGTTCACAATTTGCTCTAAAACAGCACTTTTCCTCCCCCCCACGCGATTTCCTCCCTAATAAAAATGTTATGGTTAATTTGTTTAACGACGTGTTCTGGGTATCATCCAAACCATTTGTGGAATAGTTCAATCATTTGGGTTATCGTTCGTTTATGGTATTTGTTTTATTAGGGCTCGTCCATAGTGACAAAGTAACATCATAGAGGTAACTCTAAGACCACTGGGTCCCGAAGAAAATCATTATTATTTTTGGCTCACTCAGTACCAGAACAACGGTCCCAAGCAGTCCCAAGCTATTTCACTCACCCCTGCATGTTCTGCATGAATCCACACACCCCTGATGTTATCTGTCAAACTTTCATAGCGAATCAAAACAAACATAGTGTAGTAATAGAATTTCAACTAGAATAGGGTACGTTAATCGTTTGCTTGGGACCAATAGGCTACTAAAGTGGTGAGCCAATTTAAAATCGTTAGTTACGTATTGATTGTTGGTATTACCATAGAGGTAACTCTAAGACCACTGGGTCCCGAAGAAAATCATTATTATTTTTGGCTCACTCAGTACCAGAACAACGGTCCCAAGCAGTCCCAAGCTATTTCACTCACCCCTGCATGTTCTGCATGAATCCACACACCCCTGATGTTATCTGTCAAACTTTCATAGCGAATCAAAACAAACATAGTGTAGTAATAGAATTTCAACTAAAATAGGGTACGTTAATCGTTTGCTTGGGACCAATAGGCTACTAAAGTGGTGAGCCAATTTAAAATCGTTAGTTTCGTATTGATTGTTGGTAACATCACTATGCTGTACCCATCATGGTTTCAATCATGGTGGGTATACAAATGGTGATACAGCTTTGTCACTATATAGGCGAGGAGGTCGCGGGGGGGAAAAGTGCGGTTTTAGAGCAAATTGTAAACAAACTTGGTCGCTGTCCCATACAAAAATCCAACATGGCTGAATAATGAATTTGACTCGGAATTTGACTCATTAGAACACCTATATGTAGTTACCTTGGTTTCAATCATCGATGAGGATATGAAAGTTTCCGTGTAAAGTCGACGACCAGCAACGGTGAAAAGGAGAACGTCAAACACGGTGGACGGTGGTGAGTTTCGATGTGTCAGTGTCAGTTCGTTCGTGTGATGGGTAAACAAAGTATTGATCAATAATTTTTCAGTTTCGAAACTGGGACATTGATTTATGTGAAGATTTTTCTGTAAATAAATTTAAGCCTCCACGAAACGATGACATCGCCTAGGATTTAAGTGTAAACCATTAAGTAGAATGATTAGCAACAATTGTAATCTACATAGTGTTTAAGTGTGCTGTATGTGCCGTGAATGTCGAGAAAAAATTTCCTTTAAATGGTGCATAATGTAAGTGGGGAATGGCGAGAGTCAGACATCAGTGAGTGATTTTTTATTTTGGTATGAACATTCTGTTTGCGTTGCAGGGATGATGACCTTCAACCGTTGAGGAGCGACGAATGTATTGAGCAGAATAACAATAACGTTATTATCGACGAAAGTGAAGGAGCTGTCGGGGGACCCGTGGAAAACGATAGCCAGCCGCCAATTCTACAGCTGAGTGAAGTCGATTGGACTGAGGAAGAGTTTGATCGGGATCCTCATAGGGAATACTTTTACGATGCATATCGATCCGGAGCTGGATCACCGGAGTTAGACGATTCCGTAGAGACCACAGAGGAGGTGGCAACGGAGCAGAAACCACTGTCACTGATGGACGACTGGGAACTGTGGGACTATATGGACGAGGAAACGCTAAAGCAGCGACTGAAATTTCATCCGGAGCTGCTGGAGCAAATCACACGTAAGCGGAAGCGAAGAGCCGCTCTGGAGGAAAGTGATGATGACGATCTCTGTGCGGTGATGGAAAGGCATGCAAAAGTGACGAAGTTTAGTGAACACGCAAAGGTGTACTAGTGTCGAATCTACTATCTAGTGTTTCAGTTTTATTTTACTAATTTTAATTGTAAAGTGTAATTTAGCATGTGTAATATTAATAGAACTTTTTACAATTTCTGCTCTGTACTCTTTTCAAGCATACTTGTAAATATATTACTTTATTGATTGCTTCAAAATTGTAGGTCAACTGTGACATTCTTTGCTGTTGGAAATGTTCTACTTCTCGTCTCTTTTCCATCTTCCTCCCGTTAGCGGCGCCGGTGGTGTAGTGGTAAGCGTTATTGCCTCTCACCCCAGCAGGCCTGGGTTGATGGGTCGATAGGTAGAGTCCAGGTGTGGGAGCTGCCTCCCTGGCGTCAAGGGAAAAAATCTTCCTCGTGCAACGAACCATTCCATGGAATAGAACGCAACATCACTTTCCATCCTAAACCGTATGGATGCCAGATTTGAAGACATCTCTTCATTTTGAAGACATTTTTTTTTGAAGAATTACCTCTATGGTAGTAGGTCCCGAAGAAAAGTGCTCAAGTTTTTGGCTCAGCTCTGGTACTATCTTCGGTCCCAAGCTAATCGATTCACCCCTCGAAACATAAGAAAATCCATGAACCCCTCAATTTATCTGTCAAACTTTCATAGCGAATCAAAACAAACATTGTGTAGTACTAGAATTTTGACTAGAATGGGGTATATGGGTGCAATGATTTGTTTGTAGATAGCCAGTTTGTTCACCCTTGAGAGGCGGGATCTGCGGCAAATCAGCGAATACAGACACCTAACCAAGGCAGAACACTTGATTACGGTTTTCTATACATGCGAACGGAAGAGCAGCTTTTCATCAAACAACATCCCGAGATAGGTTATTTCGGCAGACCACTCAACCCTTGTGCCATCCATAATTACAGTACAAGATGGAGCCGGTTTTAGTTTGGACGATTGCCGATAGAGGAACATGATTGCTTGTGTTTTGGAGGGATTGATTTTAATTTTCCACGTGGTGGCATAATCAGCAAAGTCGTTAAGGCATCGTTGAAGTTTGTTCGTTATTTCGCGAGGCATCCTTCCTTTGACGGCTTTTGCGGTATCATCTGCGAACAGGAACAACACGCAACCATCTCCGAGGGAAGGAATGTCGGAAGTGTAAATGCTGTAAAGCAAGGGGCCCAGCAGACTGCCTTGCGGGACTCCTGCTGGGATGGAAAACGTGTCTGAAAGACAACCATTTAACGATACCTTAAACGACCTTTCTCTGGAGGTAGTTACGGGTGATTTTAACCAGATGTAAAGGAAAGTTGAAGTTACAAAGCTTGTACACAAGTCCGTCATGCCAAACATTGTCAAATTCCTTTTCAACGTCTAACAAGGCCATGGCTGTGGACTTGGATACAGCTTTGTTACTTCGGATCAACGTTGCCAGATTGTTAAAATTTTACCGATGCAATGGGACTTGAGGGAAACTGCTTTATTTACTGGCTTTCTCAGGCTTAAAACACTCTTTAATAATTTTTAATTAAATTTCTAAAATTATCGCTGTCCTCAAGTGGTGATAAAAATTGTGATAAAGTAGTTTTTCAATTTAATATCATTAATTGAACAAAAATATGGAAAATCAGCCACAACAACGACTTAAGTATTCACAATAACGACAAACAATATTTTACCGAGTATTTTACCTTGAAAAAGGCCACAGCCCATGACAAAAATGTCAGGCAGATTACATCGTAGTCGCTGCAGTGTTTTAAGACTGAGAAAGCCGTTAATCAAAGCAAAATTTTAGCTTTTGAACTATGATCGGAAAATTCCGGAAGAAAACTCCGGGGAATGTTTGAATTAGCTTCTGAACGAATCTGAAAAAAATCCAGGGCAAGACGAAAAAAGCTCTCCTGGATTTCTAAGAAAAGTTGGAAAAACATCTGGGAAACTTCCAAGACATGAATTGAGAAACTTGTGGTGAAAATTTAAATAAACTGTCGGAAAAAAATCGGCTGTCACATCCAAAGCAAGCCAGAAAATTTCGGATATCGGACGTCAATTTCCAGAAGTAGCCATTTCCAGGGAAAGCCAGAAGAAGCTCGGAAAAACCTTCCAATAGAAGTCGAACAAAAAAACCTTTGGCTTATGGTCAAACTTCCAGAAGAAGAGGAAAGAAATTTCTGGGAGAATTAATTGAACTTCCTGGAGAATACGAAAGAAACTTCCTGAAGACGCTGGAAGAAACTAAGCCAGAGCGCTTACGGAACAGTTGAAAGAAACAAGGACATAATTCATAAAACATCCCTGAATACTCCGCAATTTCCCTGAAGTTTTCGGAACATTCCAGAAATGCACTTAGGAACATTGCATAATTCCTAGAAATTCATTAAAAGTTCTTGTAATTTTCCTAAAATTAGGGGCTGTTTTGGAGGTCTCTGGTCATCCTCGAAGCGCTCAAAATTTTCCTGATTATAATGAGACTACCGGAATATCTCTAATCATCTTTGAAGGTCTCTGGACTTTCTTGAAGATTACGAAATCTCTAAAGTGCTCTCACAATTTTCTTGAATTTAGAAGGCTCAAAAAATACAAGTCTCTCACAAAAATTTTCTCCAAAATTCGAGTGCGGGTAGGCAATAATAAATTTGATTTTTTAAAAAATCGGTATAATATCCATATAATCATATCCGCCGGAGGCACGACACAAGGGGAGGCATCTGGGTTTTGAACGCATTGCGCAACCTGATCTTCGAGCGGACTTTGGATATTCGATCCAAGCAAATGAGATGAAGCGACATGCTCGCCGATCGCATTTGCTTTCTCCTGTGGGGTGATTAAAAGCCGATCGTCATCATTTTCGACTTTGAGAGGTGAAACGGGTTTGGGATGAGTTTTCAGGACCTTGGCTACCTTCCAGAATGGTCTGGAGCGGACATCCAGATTCTGGACAACACGCCCGAAACTTCTGGAAGCAATCTGCCTGTTCAGATCGGCCATTTCACGTTTTTTGCCCAGATTTCCAGTCCTCTGAAACTGGCGTCTACGAAAATTTCTCAGGCAAATCAAGAGTTGGGTGTGGGAATCAATGGCAATAAACTTACCCCTCACAGGAACTCGTCGGACGCACGCCTCGTTAGCCACGATTATGGCTTGGTGGAGTCCCTCCAACGCTCGGTAGATGTCCTCCACGGTGTCAAGCGGCGGGTTGTCGATGATGTGCCTGTCTACCATGCGTCCAAACTGGGCCAAGTTTACGCGGTGGTAGTCCTTGTGCAGACTTGACATCATAGTAAAACTTGGACCGTTTACGCTGTTTTTCAATAGCTTCAGGTACATTCTTCACCACTTTTGGAAGTAAATTCGTCACCAAATAAGGAATACTGCATCGTGTAGAGCGCGAGAAAAGACGAGCTGCTGGACTGGAGTCAATCTTGTTCGGTACATTGCGCCAATGAAGAAGGGCGAACCAGAAATCTTCTCCTGCGTCCTCACATTTCTTCATCATCCGCTTGGCTATTTTCACCGTCGCTTTTGACTTTCCATTTGCTTGCTGGTGATGTGGTGATAACGTGATGTGCTCAAAATCTTGCCACAGACAAACAGACGTAACTCTTTGAAAAAGTTTTTCTTGAAAACATAGTATCTCAAAACATAGGTCCTCAGTAACGACATCTCTCGGGTTTCTCGCAAAAAACAAGCTTGCTATCTAACTCTCTAACAATATTGCATAAAAGTTCTATAAAATGTATAGAAACGTCAAAGTGATACGATGCCAGGGCTACGGCAAACAGTTCGCGGAACTGATAATATTCAAATCAACCGTTAAATGCGTGAACGAAGATACACAATGAAGAGTTATGTCTGTTTGTCTGTGATCTTGCGGTTGATAAAGTTGGTGCCATTATCCGTCAATACCGTCTGTGTCACACCGTGACGGGCAAAATTATTTTTGCACACTCAAATAACGGAGTCCGGAGTCAAATCTAAAAAAAAAAATTGACCTCGAAGTAGTCAGAGTAGTGGTCGACCGAGACGAGAAACTTCTGTTTGCGACCTCGAAACTCCGCGAGAAATACATCCATACTCACCGTCACCAGTTGGAAAGGAAATACCGGAATGCTGTGGCTCATCATTGCAGGGTTTGGCTGAGAAGCAGCGTACTTTGCGCAAACAATACATTCCTTCACGACGTCTTTTATTTGGGTACTCATACCAGGCCAGAAGAGATTTGCCCTGGCCAACTTCAATGTTGCCTCCACACCGCCATGGTTAACATGACAGCATTTGATCAACATGCGTCGCAACGTGTATGGTACAACAATTCGGTCATTTCGCAGAATCACACAATGATCAAATTGCTTACCCAGTCCGTGTGTGTTGCTTCCTTGATGATCAGCCCATCCTTTTCCAACCGCTCGAGTTCTTTCTTCAACCTTTCTCTCATCGCGATTGGAATTCGCCTGGGATGCTGGATTGATGGAGCAACACTTTCGTCGATCTCCAAAAAAACAGTATCGGCGAACTGCCCGTACCCGATGAACAGATCCTGATGATTATCAACAACCTCCTGTGCTTTGATACGGTAAATGTTGAGTAGCTTCTCCGGTGTATCCGTTGAATTCGGCTTGTTGAACACAACTGCCTTGCAAAACTTTACAAAACCAAGCACTCGAGAAGCTTTTGCAGAAAGCAGCGGACGGTGATCGACATCCACTACCTGCAGGACCAATCGATATCTCCTACCTTTGCGTCGACATGGAATCTTGACCTGACCCAACACTTTGATTGGACTACCCCCGAAACATTAAAGACGTAGCTTGGAAGGTAGCAGAGAAGGATTGTCTATCCCGCAGAGCTTTACCAGGGTTTAGTATTCAATCAGACTCGTATTAGCACCTGTGTCGACTTCGCAAGTGATGGACTTCCAAACGTTTGCAAACTTTAGGTCTAATTCAGCCAGGACACTTCCGCCCTGATCAGAATTGTCAAAAATCTTCCCGATCTCATACTCCTCTTCCGATGAAACGTCGCTCTCAGATGAAGTTTCGCCGTTGGATCCGTCCTTCACCTCCTTCACTCGTCGAGATCTTCGATGCTTCGGTTTGCTGTTAGGCTTGCACACTTTTCCAAAGTGGTTCTTGCCGTTGCACTTGTGACAGCGTTTCCCTAAGGCAGGACAGCTTCCTTTGGAAAATTCATGGCGA